CCTGGGCTCAATTCTCAGCCCTCTCCTCTGAGCTAGCATTGCTATTGTCCCTGCTCTAGAATGGAGCAGTGCTCCCAGGGCTTCCTCCCTGGAAACCCTTTGACTACTGCCCCAGCTCTCCAGCTGGGACAGTCCTTTAGCTCAGTTCATTCCCCTTCCGGGGTATCAATGTTCCATGAATGCAGTCCCTTCTCAGGGCTTTAGCCACACTGCCTTTGGACGGGAGGGGGTGGGGGGGAAGGACACCTGGGCCCATCCACTACAGTGGGTCCCGACCCAAGGACCCTACAAATAGTAGCCTCCTGCTGCATCCCATGTACTAATCTACTGCATTTCCATGGGCCAATTTCCACAGGGCCCCTTCACCCTTACCTCAGGGCTGAAGATCTTGTACTAAATCCCAGCAGCCAGCCAGGAGCTCCTTCCTTACTCCCCAATCCCTGCCAACAACTGCCCTGTCCAACCTGGCAGTTAGCTAAGAGCACTATCCTTGCTCCTCTGGTTCCAGCCAGCAACTGAACCTTTCTAGCCCTGCAGCTCCTTTTACACTAGCTTGCTGGGCCTGGATTGGCTGCTCCCTACAGCCTCTCTGATTGGCCACTCTAGGCAGCCTGGCAGACTCACCTCTCCTGCACTTCCCTAGGATGGGGTGTGGTAGGACCACAAGTCCTCCAGCAAGGGGCCTCAGTGTCTGGTACACCCCATCCCAGGTCCTTATTGAAATTACTAGCTCGAACTTCTCAGTTTGATCTAATATTACAAAATAAACTACTGTGATTACATAGCCATTTTTAAGGAACTGATCAGCATTTCTAAAGCACTCATCATTAATGTGTTGGCTGCGTCCATGAGAATTAAGAAGTCTAGTTAAAAACTAGTTTAACCATGAAACTCAGAGTTGCTCTAGATCCAAAATGTTGTTTTCAGATGTAAAATGTTATTTTGCAAAACAAAGAGAAACCAGTAAATATCTTTCTTTCCAAGCTTCTCCATAAAGGCAAGTGCCTAAACCAATTGTATTCACATTTTTTGTTCTCTCTCAGCTCCTGTCTTTCATCCCACAAGTCACTAGAGCTACAATAACCCTCTATTGTATCCAGGGGGAAGAATAGAAGGAAACCAAGGCTGCTCTCTTTGTGCTTTTTGTACTCAAAATCACACTCAGAAGGCCCACAAAAATACTGTTTTGGGGTACAGACCCTCTCCTATCTACAGGAGAAACTGGGAGCTGGTGATGGGATAAGGAAAGCTCTTTATTGTCCTTTCCCAGTCACTGCTTGCAG